GTACCACCCTGATTACAGTGGTACCCTAATTGTCTTAGTGGTACCCTCGATCAGATGTACAACGTCTACTCTGACCTTGAAACCTTAGATATGCTGAAAATGTACCACCCTCATTACAGTGGCACTCTGCGAATCATATGGTATACTATTATAGGAACCTATTCATGTAACACTTGTACTTTCAACACATGAAGATAACTGACCAATGGTACAGTTCATGAACAATAAGTGTACCACTGCAAGATGTTTTTAACAAGAAATACAACAAATAAATACCACTGCATTAATAAACTAGTTGAATCGATTACATTACAAGTGATTGCAACCTGATGTACTAGGTACACTTGCAAAAAACCACCAGAATTTGTTCCCCTAACAGAAGTGAAGTACCCTAAGGAACTATCCACATCCCTAATTTGAATCCCTCCAACCGATCGCATATAGTCATTCGTTGACAATGACGTATTGTTCTGTGTCGCCGCAGCTTGCTCCTTTGCTGCATTTTTCGCCCTAGCAGCCTTTTCTTTTCCCTTTTTCTCTGTGCAAGATGGATACCTGGTTGTACGATGGGCCTTCTTCTTGGGCAACGGTGGATCCCTAATCACTGCCGGTACGGATCCATCACAACTCCCCACAAAGGCACTAACTGGTGTAGGGATTGTATTTGGCAACCCAGATGCATGTGTGGCTGGTGTATTTGTACAAACAGGCCCCTTGTTCAAAGCCACAGAAGAAGGCGTCCGAACAACACAATGTACGCCATCATCCTCACATTCGTTTTCATTATCCTTAGCTGCCTATTCCTGTTTTTTGGCAACCATTGCCAACACTTCATCGACTCTGAGGTGCATCAATTGCAACAACTCTGTCACAACCTCAACACTCTCCTTACAAGCTGAAGCCTTTGAGCAAATTGGTTCATACATCCCCATCAATTTGTGATAGTGCTTGGCTTCATTGGTTTTAAGTGGATCATGGTATGCTACTTTCACTAGTGTGTGTTTCCTTTGAATATCCTTCCTCCTATGACGTAGAATATACTTCTCAGGAACAATGGAAACACCGCAATGGTCATACACAAAGATCATATGTCGACAAATAATTCCATGGCACTCAAAGTGTTTACAGTCATAACTAGCTTCATATGTATTACTGTCATAACACATCCTGTAGCATCTCCGAATCTTAGTCACAAATTCTTTCTTTGCATATTTTGGCTTGATCCACACTCGGTCCTCAATAACAAACTCAACTTGATTCTCACAAACTTCATAGTCATCTAGGCGACGCATGTACAACATCCTCTTGCACTCCCGCTGAACTTCTTTGAATTTGGCGTCCGTGTAACACTTTTGGAACACTTCCTCCGCTGGGAAATCGGTAGCTACATGCCTGATGCACAGTAGTGTGTTGGAGTCCGCAATTCTTTCTGACTCGGCCTTATCTGCATTGCATCGCAGTATTGAAGCACAAATTCAGACAACATTGTATGTTTGTCAACATAACCTTTAAAGAAGTGATTAAAAATTTCAGAACGTTGGGTCGTTCTCATCCCAGCCCAGAATAAATGCTTCAAATACGCTGGGATCCACATGTGCCTTTCCTCATACAGCCCTACATTTCAAATAATTGCAATTAATGACTTATCTAAAAACATACAAACTTCATACACCTAGACTCCTGTGAATGGTACATTCACTGTCTCAGAATTGTGCCACAGATAAGAAACTTGCAAAAAAAAAACATTCAGTGGTACAAAAGTTTACCACTAAACTTGCTCCTACTCTAAACCAAAACTGAAACAGCTTCCATTCCCCTGCACACAGACAGCTAAACCTCTGCATATTCTAACAAAAATTAGTAACAATCACAAACAAAAAATAAATAAATAAAGAAGAAATGGAAGTGCAGTACCGTCAAGCCAACTGTTATCTCCTAGTTTGTAATAATCAACTGCGTCCACCCAACGATCTACAAATTCATCAGCATCTAAACTACCATAAATGATATTTTCAAACTCATCATTTACAGCTTCATAGTCCTCATGCTTACCCACATACCTCCCAAACTTCTGAATTATATGCCATATTCACCACCTATGGCAACTCTCAGGCATAGTCAAGCTTACAGCTTTCCTAATCGTTGGATCTTGATCCGTTAGGTTGGAGATAGGAGCTTTACCCCCCATGCAATGTAGCCAAGTCCTCAACACCCACTCATAGGTCTCTGCCGTCTTCCGAGAGATCAATGCACACCCAAACAAAATACTCTGCCCATGATGGTTCACACCGATAAACACAGCAAAGGGAAGGTGAAATTTGTTTGTCAAATACGTACTGTCAAAACACACAACATCTCCAAACTCCTCATATACAGCTCTACTCCTTACGTCTACCCACACAACATCTTTTAATGCTCCGTCATTCCTAAACCGACATAGATGGAAAAAATTCTGATTGTTGGCACTCATTTTGTTGAAGTACTCTATCATGTCATTTGCATCACCCTCAGTAAGCTCAAGTCTGGTTTTCTGAGCCACTGCATTCTCCAAGTCTCTTTGCGTAAATGTCATCTCCTCCACTACATTACGCTCCCGAGCATAACAACTATACATTTGGGATACCTTCACCTTAGACTTCTTCACCGTATGCACCTGCTTGACCAAGTGATTGTTTTTCACCATTAACTCGTGTTTCCGGTACATCGCTACATCCTTTGACTTTCCTGGAGTAACTATGTGACCTTTGTGATCCAAATTTAACCTTCGAACAACCCAGTTCCCTTCCTCATTAACACTAGCATACAACTCCACAAGACACCCGCACTTGAAGCGTAACCATAACAGTCACAAGTCCACTTAGCATTCCTTCTCTACTTACAACACTTCCCCTTTTCCAATTCCTTCTTCACATCCACTCACCCAGAAGCAGCCCTCACTATACCAAAACCCTTTTGCCTAGCATAACTCCAGAAATAGGTATCCAACTCATCCCAACTCCTAAATACCATGCCCAAACTTGGGGGTGGTACTTCCTCTTCCACACCAAACACAGTGTGTGCCATTATCGTGTTCTTCTTTGGGGTTATGAATGAGGAACCTTCTACACCAGCCCCATCAAATTCCCCTTCAACACCAGGCTCAACTTCATCTTCCTCGTAATCTGCCCCTTATTCTCAACCTCAAACCCTTCCCCCTCTTCATCCTCCTGCACCCCACCTTCTCTTAATCCATCATCACTCACTAATCCCACACTCTCTAATCCCTCCTCAAAAACAGATACATCATCCTCCCCACCATCAACATATCCATCAACAACATCCATCTAATTCACATACACAACCATGACTCATTGAAAATACAATATTACAACAAACAATCAATAACCAAAAACAGACACGACAACACCAAACCCAACAAACTATATGATCACATAATTCATAATAAAACTTTTTTTTTACCTTCTTTAACAGCAACTAGTTCGATAAACAAGTTCAAAGCTTTTTGTTTTTTGTACAATTTTTAACACAAACAAGTTCGACAATAACTCATACAATTATTAGCAGTTCATCCTTCACTCCATTCCCATTCTAAAACCAACACATTCCCAAACAATTATAATACATTAATCAAATTTCATCAACTCAACTACAACAATGAATAATCTACATTCATATCAAAGATTATGGCAATTTAACATTACCAATTACCCATTTACTTACTCAATTACATGGATTGAAGTTCATATCAAATTTACAACAAAGGGTCCTAACCATAACAAAGGGTCCTAACCCTAACATCTTCATCATCTAATTAAAAGAGTCTACATTTCATAATTACCCAATTCAAATACTCTTTTATAACCCTCAATTTTCGACTCCTTCATCTTCAACTCCTTCCTCCACTTCTACTTCCTCATAATCTGACTCCCATTCCTCTCCATCATCTTCTGATCCCTGTTCATTCTCCTCTTCATCTCCTTCTCCATACCCATGTTCACTCTCAAATCCCTCTTCATTACCACATACATCATCCTCACGACCAACACCCCCCTATAACAATGACACAACCATAAAACAATCATATACACAACACCACCACAAGTAACAAAGTACAATATCTACATTATACATAACATCATTTTCATGGCTACAGAAACCATCATACCAATGGACAACCATTTTCCAAGTATCAATTTCAAAATTTAAAGACAACCCTCAATATGAATTTCAACCTACTCCAAATTTCAACATACACAACACAGATTAACTACAGTCACCTCAATTGATCAGGTTACAATCAACAATCTAACAATACCAACAACAATTGCTTAAAAAATGACTTACATTTAAACAATATGCCAACTTATTTAAGCACTAACACAATCACTATCAACAACAACTATAAATTGAAACGATACCAATAATTGAGAGACACCAAAAAACACTAACTTTTTAGCTAATTCAATTTTGTTTACTCCCCTAATTCATGCATTACTAACTGTTAACTCAAACAAATACCTCATACACAACAGAACGACCTACATAGGGGTTTCAAATACTTACATTCTCACTATCAAACCGCAACCCCCTTGCGCAACCATGGCCTTCTTCACCACCTTCACGCGATGCTTCCGCTAAATCAACTCCTAATAAATCAGCAGTTAACCGATTTTGCATTGTCAAAATGTAGTTCGGATTCACAAATTAACTGCTAACCATCTATAAACAACTACATCACACTTTTACATTTCCAAAATTAATACCAATTTAAAGACTAAACCCTAAAAATTAAATTCAAATCTACCTTCAAACTGAGTAATTATAATAATGCATGTACCAAACTTACATTTTCACAATCAAATCACAGCTCCCTAGCGCAGCCATGTCCGTCTTCTCTACTGTCACCAAGTGCTTCAGCTAAATCCACGCCAAGAATGTCAGCTAACCTCGTTCTCATCCTCAATTTCCAATGTCAAATTTACGACATTTGAGTGGCTTTAGTGCACTTGGGAAAGGATTTCAATGCCTTCAATTTAATTTCGCTCCATTCGCCATTGAACAGTAACACTTTGCTTTGGGAAGAAAGAGGAATTGAAAGAGGAAAGTTGCTTTGTCAAACTTCATTTTGGTTTCCCGCTTAGATTTTGGTTTCCCCGTTTTCACTATCTTTGCCCCGTTATTTTTTTCTACCAGCTGGCACCTTGTCCCCACACAACTTCAACCTGTTTACAAAGAATGCCATCCTATAGGCATTCCTTGCCAATAAGTCCTATGCGTTGATAGTTATCCTTCGATTTTCAGCTGCTATTCCGTTGAACTAATTTCGAACTTCATTCTTAAAATAAAAAAAATAAAAAAATAAAAAAAAAAAAAAAAAAATTACAAAAATTACAAAAAATTTCAATCTCTTAAATTATTGTTTTAAGGTTTCATTTGTAAATGGTTAGCGTCGATAGTATCGATTTTATTATGAGCAACTTCAAAAAGTCGGGATTGTTTCCACTTCTTTACTTAGTGAATCGGTATATAGACTCGGGATGACAAATTGAGTGTGGCTGAATTTACACAAGTAAGCATTTGACATAGCCTTGTATTGGAATTGCCAATTTTTTTGAAATTTCCAATTGAACAACTGTGTATGACCATGGTTGCATGATATTTCTATGTTATTACCCTGGTTTTTGAATTGAATGTTCTGAAATTCATGTTATTTGATTCGATTATGCAGTTAATGTTATGTGAATCTTGTTATTTGATAATGCTATGAATTGATTGGATTTTGAAATGCGTCATCCGAATTTCATGTTTAATTGATATGAGTATTATTTGAATCATCCGAAGTGCATGTTTTTGTAATTCAATAATGGCATTTAATTGGATGCGTTTAATTGGTAGATTATTAAGTGCTCTTTGATTGTCAAGCTAAAATTACTATTTCCTCTTACCCGGTTTGTGTGATGAGTTGAAATGATCTGAATTGAACCAGAATTGACAGGCGTGGCTATTATTTTAGAACTAATTATGATGAGTATTTGATAATTTGTTTGATGTTGGCAAGGGTGAAAAATGACAAAAACGAAAAAGCAGTCGAAGGTATGAGCTTGAGTTTAGTCAAAAATAATTGTTGACTGGTTGTTTGAGGGAATGCTGATCTAATGTCAATTATGTGGTTATACAATGTAGGCAACTGGTGGTAAGAGGTCACAACATAGAGTTGAAGAGAAGGTATGATTGATTTTTAACTGTATGAGGTTCTGTTACTTGTCTACAATATATGGATGGATGGTTGATTTGGGTGTGGTGCTATTTTTAGGTTGAAACTTCAATGTTTGGTGATACGATACGGGGGCCAAAATTTTTACAACTGCATTCCGCAATCTTTAAGGTTGAAGTTTTAGGTCATCAGTTCTGTTTTTCTGTAGATCACTTGAGCTCCAAATGTGAAAAATGGTAAACAATTATGCAGGACAACCGATTAAGTGTGTGTGTGTGTGGGGGGGGGGGGGGTCAAGTCAAAGAAAAAGGTGAAGTGCTGAAATCTCATTCTTTAAGTCAGACAAAGGTAAGTAACAAATCTTTTGATGGTAGTAGTGTTTTATGCTAATGAAATTGGTTGTAATATGTTATTGATAGTTCATCTATTGTTGTATTATAGGCATCGAATTTGACATGTCGTATTGAGTCTTTTGGTAGAATTTATCAAAAGTTTGATGACAAAAGGAAGAAGTGGGTAGGTGAAATGGGGTTCGGGGGTTTACTAATTCTAGCTTCAGGCATGCATCTTCTAAGACAGTTGGCGTATTGGTTGCTTAGTCGAGTTGATCCAATTAAGAAAATTTTAACATCCCCGGATGGCACAGAGTTCAAATTGTCACATAATCAAGTGTACTAGATTTTTGGCATTCCAAATGGTGGCAAGGTTGTTCCTTCGAAGAGAAGGATAAATGATGATGTGAAGGGTAAGGTCGAGGAATTGTCAAGAAAGGATGGCCAGTCATGGGAGACAAAATGCACCAAGTACGAAGGTCGTGTTTACAATGTCAAAGGAATTCACGTTAACTCTACAATAATGGATAGAGTGGAAGGTGATTGGGAGGATAAGGATGAAGTTAAATTTAAGACATTGTTTCTCCTTCTTTCGCTACACATGGTTCTCTGTCCTTCGCAATCTCCACGAATTTCACCTGATATGTTGCCTGCTCTGGCTTGTGCAAAAGATTATGGTGAATATGACCGGTGCGGGCTTGTTCTATCCAAATTTGTATCCAGTGTCACCTCATTTGCTAGGAAGTTTTATTCAAGAGGATATGTTGGTGGAAGCGGTGGTTGTTTGTTATTCATTGTGGTGTGTACATTGGATTATATTAGTGGTAAAATACTTATTGTGTATGGGGCAACAATGCCATTTCTAAAGCTACTAGGCAGGATTGTGTTACTGGACATGGTGATTTTAGATCTATTGGAGTAAGTCTCTTGAATGCATTCTTTCAATTGTTGTGCTTAGTTATCGCTTTCTTAATTCTTATGTCCACGCCCACAGATGTTGGATGTCGCGTATGGTGAAAGACACCCGTTGGACGCGAGGGATAGCAATGGACCTCCTGACTCAAATACAAATACCCAGGTTGTTCTTGTCTTCATACTACGATGCATATTATTTTCAGCTTATAACTGATCGAACTTCGTTCATAACTTATGCAGAAGATTGATGAATTGTCTATTGTCATTCCATCACCTAAGCCAAGGCGAAGGAGGGCTACGAATGGGGTTGGAGATTCATGGTTCAAGTCCAAGTAATTACCAAGTTTGTGTGGCTTAGGTAATGGATTTCCTGCTTCTCTTGTAACCAGTTTATCTTATCAGTTAATTTTCGTTAAATCAAGTTTGAACAAAGCGTCTTATGATTGTGTTAACTAGTTTGTGGCATGATGTTTCTTTACTATCGTGAATTATATGTCTTCTGTTCGTTTAGCGTCCTTGATGTTGAAGCCCAACCGACTTGGGCTTCCTTATGTTGCCCATTTGAATTGGAAAGGGTTTTGCCGTAATATGAATTGAGAACATTCTTGTTTTGGGTCCATTTCAGTATTTATAATAGTCAGTTGTTGTATTGTTTTGGGCCAACATGCCCATTGTATGATCCATTTACAGCACTATTATCCAATTGCCCAATTGCTTTAACACCTTTGGACAGAAACACTCAACCATTGTTCAACATATGGTCAAAGACACTTTAAGTTTGGCATTGTTGCTACGTTTGATGTTAATAATGTTATAATTTTGATACTACTCTTGTTATTTTCAATTAACAATTTGTACGCCTTTACTATTTTCAACCTAAGCTGCCCTCATAAATAACTTTGCTAAACCCATTGATTCAAGACGAAACATTAAAATACATTACAATAACACGTACACTTAATATCCGAATTACATAAGTCAGAGTACATCCAAACCATTAGAACTACTAGTACTGCAGTATGAATACATAATTTTCTTAACATAACTGATACTAAAACATAAATTAATTTAACCTAATTAAAAATAACTAAAAACAAAGACATAATAATACTCATACTTCTGCTACATACTGTCTGCTTTCAAATCCTCCGTCCTGTGAGTAATGAAATGTTTGCCACTTTGTTTCATTTATCAAGTTAACTGTGAGAAAGCATCCTTAGTTTCAAAAATTACCTGACATTGGGTAAACTCGCACATTAACCTTCCACTGCACACTCAGTATGACAGTACCAACAATGTGGAGATCAATTGAGCTGCTCGTAGCACAACAATCTGAGCTTGAACCCTAGACGGATCCCAGAATATAACCGTCCCTCCAGTTAAAACCTTGCCCTCGTCAACCTTCTAAGCCATGGTTGTTCCGAACCGCCTCTCCCAATTGATGGCTTGTGTCCCGTTCAAGTGACAATCATCAGAATTGGGTTATGGGTGGCCACAATTTCGCGAAAATGGGGCATAAATGATGGTCTCGTGAGGCGACGAGCATTCCATAACACAATGCTCGATCCGATGTCCAATTCTTCCTTTTCCTCCTCTTCTTCAGGCCTTAGTCTGATTTCATGGTAACGACTTGAGGGATCTTCCTCCAGGAATTTGTTTGCTAACACTGCGAAGTAAATGTTGGTCATAGGATCGCGTACCTGCAAGTGAAATATATTACTTTTATCTATTAATGATAAAAAAATAGAAACAAACTTTGAAATATCACAAACACTACTTACTTGGAAAAAAAAGAACTTATCTGTGTAGCATCCAAACCCATAGTCCAAGTTCCGCGGGCCAAGGGAGTAAATTGGGCCAGCACGGGGTAGAATAGGCTTGGGATCTATCCAAGGCATGATATTCTTAGAGATAATTGGATTTGTGCCTTCATACTCAACTGGCTCAACTTCTAAGCGCTCAATTATAGACTGCACCTCACGTAATGCAAGAACATCTGATGTTACTGGTAATTGAGCCGGAGAAATAATACCGGCCTCGTTCACCATCATCATCTTGTTCATAAAGCCCTGCCTTTCCTCTGGTTTTGCAACAATGCATCGGAGGATGTCGAAGTCAACTTCTTTAGTAGTAAAACCCCCGTTGTGACTGTAGAAGTAGATATACTCATTGAAGTTCATTTCAGGCTCGGGGTGGTGGTTGTGCTCTAAAAACCACATAATTTGTCGTTTCTTCCAGTAAATCTAATTGGAGGAATCTTGTTTGGATTGAATTAAACCAAATACACTTTAGCTAAAAGGACACTTTTTAAAAGTTAGTTTTCCGTTATAATATTAGAATAAGACAAAAAATATTCATTTCAGAATCAATTATGTTAAACGATAATTTTTAATAGATAATAACATTTCATTTCACAAATAATTCCGTTAAATAAACCTAATTAGTTTGCAAAGCAAGAAACACCAATTTGTCTAGTGAACTTCAAACACTTGCATACACAAATCACTACAAATATGACGAAACTAAATTTCTAAACATCAAAGCCCATGCGTGTAGATGGGAGTACAGATTATTTGATACTCAACTTTATAGATTGCCCGTCTTGACCTTCTATTCCTACTTTGACCATGTTGGATAGGACCATCACTAGAACGCCCCTAATGATACCACACCTTGATGAACCGTGGATGGACATCTAATTTAGGTTCTTGCATATGAACCTTTCCATGTGAATGGAAACTCTCGTTTCTGTCAATATCACGATATCTGGCATGTGCACATCAACTAACAACCGTAATTCTTCTAGGAATAATTCTCTAGCCATATCTCTGCAGTTCCATATTACGAGTTTAGTTGAACCTTGTTGTGGCATTGGCGTTGCCCATAATATAATTAATGCTTTCTGGCCATCCACAGGATGCTTTCCTAACCAACTTGAGGCAACACATATATGGTTGACTTATATTTTCCCCACTTTACAGCAGCTTCACGTCATCGCTGTAGCAGTTTACAACCATTTCGTGGATGCGTTCAGTTACCTTAAAGGATTCTATTACGGAGGGTAATAATGCAACTGAGTAGAGTATGTTTTTTTTATGGATTTAGGGGTGAGATGCCGTATACTCATTCCCTTTTCTCCTCCATCCTTCAACAGTGCCCATCTTAGAGACAGTTTTAACGCGGCCAAATCAAATAAATATGGAATGTGGGCAGGATATACCTTACCGTTCTGTAGAACAACAACATCTCCTGGTTCATTCTTCCCACTTGCAACCTGGGCAGCGATTGAACTTGCAGACACAATCTCGATAGAAACCATGCCATTGGGAGAGAGCTTGCATGAGCTCATAACTCCAATAAGACCTCTGCCTAGCCTAGAATTTCCACCCACTGGACGGGCTGGTCTGTTGGTCACACCCAGTTGTTGAGTTTCCACTAGGAACTTAAGGACCTTTACACACCTTTTATTCACAACTCTAGTTTTACCCCCGTTGTTTGTTACTCCTAATCTACTTGACTTTTGTGGAGCAAAAACATTTACTGGTATGTTGATGAATTTTTTTTTCCATTGTGGACGGTAATGATCCGCAGTTTGTTCTTGAATTCAAAGGCAGGTTACCATATTCTACCGTACAACACCACTTATATAGTCATTCACTATTGGCGCCAATTTGCCAAACCTAATAGCAAGAATCGTAGTATCGAGCGGACTTGTGTTAGATCTCACGCTCTGTCGTTGGTACAACAAACAATGGTAGTGATTCTGGGTTCACCATCAGTTTCAAGTCGAAAATTGGGACTAGCTCACGTGGCATGTACTTTGGTAGATATGCACAATGGCGCCAATAATACCATTTGACAAACAAAGCCACACCTGGGTGCATATAACCATCCAGATCAGCTACAAGGGGCATGTACGCAGGTTTTACATCCCCATTAGGTAATTTCATAACCCAAAATGGCGTCCCTAAGCAAGCACCATCTTCAGGATTGCTACATAATTCTTCGTGTATCATATCCAAGGGAATGTCAAAAGCTGGACTTGTGTTGGTATCACTATAGAAGTATTTTATTGTGTTGAATTACATTTCCGGCTCATCACTCGGGAAAAAATTGTTGACATACATTGAAGGAATTTGTGGGTGATATGTTATTTTTGGGTTTTTGTTACTTCCAATCCAAATGTTGGCCAAGTCATGGATAATGGATTTCTTAGCTTTGTTAGTGGTGAAGGGTTTCTGAAGAAAAATTGAATAAGCGTGAGAAAAGCAAATGGTAAACGGATGAGAATCTAAAATGGAAAAATGGAAAAATTCGAAAACTCTCTAAGATTATTCACTTATAGTAGGTCATAAAGTAGTACTTTGTTTACAAAATTTTTATGTTCTTTCCCTCCATAAACGATAGAAGTAATAATGATTTTTTTTAAAAATAAAAAACAATAGTCAATTAATGACTACATAATAAGTTAGCACAAGTACATTACTTTTGTTTAAACGTTGTTTAAACGTTGGTGAATACTGTTTCAATCGTTGATAATTTTAGAAAATAAGCAATGATGAATTATCAAATGTTGTTTATGGTGAATCGAAATAGCAGAAAATTTACAGCCAACTGTGAATTAAAGTTGTAGTACCCAACACAAAGTGATAAGAGTCAAACATGAAAATATGGAAAAGTTTGAAGTCTCCCTAACACAATCATCTTAGCCTAGGACATAGGACATAAAGTTGTAGTAGGTGTACATCGTTTGTATTATCTTTTCCTTCATCAACAACACAAGTAATTTACATGACAATATTTGATGATATTAGGTTTGAATCATCATTATTTTAAGAAATTAGTTATATTTTCTAATTGAACGACCTTAATTGAAGCCTTACTAAACCGCAAAAGAAATGACCAAGTAAACGAATTTTGATTACACTACGAATGTAGTTTATGTTTGTCTTGATTATATTTTTTCCAAGCCAAATACCAAACATACATTCCCTAGTTATATTTAAACATCCGATTTCATGTTTAATAAGTTGTAGCTTATGATTACGACAATTCTCAGTACTCTAAATAACGAAAATTTAGTTTCATATTACTTTATTTCTACACACATGACGATATAAACTCCCAAAACCCTAAACCCTAGCACCTAAACCAAACATTTCTTTATCATTACCCCTTAACCCTAAACCATAAACCCTTCAATCCTTAAGCCTAAACCCTAAACCCTAATCTCACAATCCTAAACCCTTAACCCTAAACCATAAATCCTTCAATCCTTAAGCCTAAACCCTAATCTCACAACCCTTAACCCTAAACCATAAACCCTTCAATCCCTAAACCTTAAACCCTAAACCCTTTAATCCGTAAAACCTAAACCCTTAACCCTAAACCGTAAACCCTAAATCCTAAACCATTAACCATTAACCCTTAACCCTTCAATCCTTAACCCTTATGCGTACACCCTTCAATCATTAACTATTAAACCCTAAACCCAACAATCCTTAACCATTACCCCTTTACCCTTCAATCATTAACCATTAAGCCTAAACCCTTCAATCCTTAACCATTAAACCCTTAACCCTTATGCGTACACCCTTCAATCATTAACTATTAAACCCTAAACCCAACAATCCTTAACCATTACCCTTTACCCTTCAATCATTAACCATTAAGCCTAAACCCTTCAATCCTTAACCATTAAACCCTTAACCCTAAAGCCTAAACCCTACAATTAACCATTACCCCTTAACCCTTCAATCCTTTTCTTACGACTTTGAACACTAGTAGTTTGCTATCACACGACTTTCGAAGGCTGCTCCTTTTCTTACGGATTTGGATTCAGTTCATGATGACATTACTTCTTTTTTTTTTATATATTCCGTTGCCCATAACCTCATTAGTTTAGTACCTTTCCGAGTTGAACAAGTATGGAAGTATTTTTGTCGTTATATAAATTCTCCTTTTGTTCTAATGAACAAGTTGTACATTATTTAATAAATTTTAGTACATTCTTCAATAACACAAAATTGAATTATAATCTAAACAATTTTCAAAAAAAAAAAAAAAATTTAACTCTAAACCCTAATCCTTATCCCAAAACCCTCACCCTTAAGTCGTCGTATGTAAAGCGAGTGTTCGTACGTAAATCGTGAAGCAATGTTTGTTTGTCATAACAATGAAGACGAAGTTGTCAACGTCATAGTACACGCTGGTAATATTTAAAGGTATTCTACTTCCGATTGAAACTTGGCATGTCTAACCAATTCGTTTTTCTAATATTTGAATCAAAATCTGACAACAAGTTACTTTTGTGTTGTGTCACTGTTAACAGTACTTTCATGTTTGTTATTATTTTAAATATTTTATGTTCATATTGCAAGGTTCTTATAACTTTTTTAGTAGTGCCTTTGGAGTGGTAACATAGACCTTATTTCTTCAAGAAAACAAAAATTTTAACAAAAATATTACTCACATAAGAACTTGGACTAGGTACCAAAATAACATATCATTAATGTTACATACGATGATAGACTAGACAATGAAGATAAGAACATATTAAGAATCTTAAATAATAACCGGCTAATACAAAACATTTAATAATTCTTATTTTCCATATCCAATTAGAGTTTTCCAAGTAAGTTACTAAGTAGAATGAAAATTGTCTGCATATCGCGTTCATTAAAACCTTCCGCAACAGCTGAACCTTGGTTTTGCCGAACAGATCTTTGCTACCTTCGACTACTGTTCAACCCCCTATGATCGGTATAACACATAGTACACCATGGATTAAAGTTAATCATGTTATTATATTAATGAACAATAACAGAATATTATTTACCTGGACAACAACATTAATCACTTCAGCACCTCGGAACATTGGATTTTGAACTATATTTATCACTTCCTCCTTCCATATAACTGCATATCCACTAGAAAAAGAGCGAATTGGACATGTTAGAACCTTGAAATTACGAGTTAGACGATTAATAACCTCGATAACATTTTCAAGGAAATGCCTCGTCTCTACTAGGATAATCATGGAAGGATTAGCCTCATGATACACAACATTAAAATTTGCAATGAATGATTCCCTCGTAATGCCACGCACATTCCAGGTCAAAATGCGTGTATGCTGAGGGAAATTGGTCAAATTGGGAACCTAAGGAGGGCATGACACCGGATCAAATGCTACGATGTGGTGAGGTGCTCTATGGTCAGACTTAGCCGTAGCGAAAATAGTTAGGATTAGTACAAAGGGTACTCAGGCACCTCCACCACTTGTATAACATCAGTGAAGGTTGCCATACATAAGTACAACGTATCGAACCCAAGCTTAAACACAGGCGGTGTTAAATCTATTATTGGCTCTAGATCAATCAAGTGCTGCATGCAATACAGAACAACGTGGTGCGTAAACAAGAGCCACTTCAAAATAATTATTGTCAACTCCGGCAAGGGGTATCAGTCAGCCATATTAGGCAAGTGAGCTGGTCGAAGTTCAACATGGTGATCCATGGCTCTCATTTTCAAGGTGGAAAACTTACTAGTTACCACCGTCGGTATGACTTGGGATATTGTTTTTTTGGATACATAAGCTGGGCTGTCAGTGGCATCACAGCTAAGGAAAATTTTTGAGTTCATGTTCATGTCTATTTCCGGTTTTAAGCTTTGTGGTGGTTCAAAAAATAAGAGTGTTCGATTACCCTCAGAGGTGATAGCAACTCTAGGCATCTTATTTGTAATTCTTGGATTTAGGATCAATGTATTGTGTTTTGAACTTGTATGGATCAGGTTTATAAGCAAATAATGAGCAATGACACAGGTTGCACAAGGTAACCGTTTACACTTACTCCGTATGGTAATTTTTTACATACCAAAATTAATTTAATAAATCAAAGTTGGAAATGAATTAAACTTTATAAATAAATAAATCAACATAATCTTGGCGTGATCGGAGGTTGATACGATGTGGCCAAGTATTGTCAGGAAGATTTATGATATAATCAAACACATAATCCAACAATTGCATGCCATAATTAATCTAGGTTTAAAGATTTAAAAAATTTCGTCAAAAACGAAAAACCACTCGAAAAACCACTTTGTGGATGCATTTTGACTTCTAGAAGGCCATTTTTAACCACTTTGTACTTTGTGGCTCAAGAATGATTTAGAACGTTGATTCCACCAAAATTCACTAATTTTGAGTCAAAATCGAAGTTCGTAAACCAAAATTAGCATAAATACGATTTAATCCCATTAAAACGAGCTCCTAATCTAATTAGGAAGCAAAACCATAAATTTAAATCCATTTTAAGTCACCTTAATTAATTTTTAGTTGTAAAAATTAAATGCAAGAGGCTCTTATACCGCTGTTGGGTTTTGCGGTGTCCAACACCGCGCGGAAACAAAACCTTGATAACCGGATCACATGCATAATAATTACAACATAAATAAAAGCACGCAAAATAAACATAAACATAAGAGAAGAGAGAGAAGGAATGCTCACCCTTGTAGCGTGCTTCGCTCAACCGTTGAGCTCGGACATGAAAGCTTCAAGTTCCGCAAGTGCGAGAACCTCCAACGGCTCACACTCTCGCTACCGAACCGTAACCAGTCCCTACCCCGTAGCTTAGATGGGGCTAGACCAAAAATAACTTAGAGTTTACGAACAAAGGTTTTCTCGCTTTTGGAGATCCCTTAGAGTTCACCAACTCAAGTGAAATTCCCAATACCCAATGATGGGTATTTATAGGGAAATGTCCCCAAGAGTTCTCATCATCTTTCAATGTGGGATAGTTGGTAAAATGCCAAAAAGAAAATAATTAATTTAATTTTAAATTAAATTAAAAAGGCAAGACAATCATCAAACAACAAGTGGCATAAGGTGAGCAAGGAGTTAGGTGAGGACCACAAGGACAACGCACATGGCCTCCTTGTTCCCCAAGCCACCAAACCCACCAATCATAATAAGGCAAGATCGGTCAATATCCTTGGGCAACAAGGAATGGCCGGTCAAGGCCTTTGTAGCTTCGGCTAGGCCGGCCTACACACACCGCAAGCCCACCGCTAGCTAGCTGGGATGCTATGTGCTGCTGGCTGGCCAGCCGCAAGCCCAACGGCCTTGCCCGCAAGCACCAGGACATGCTGCTAGCAGGCTATGCGGGTACGAGCTTGTGACAGCATTAAGCTTCCTCACACGCTGCGCCTTGCATGGTGCTGGTGGCCTAGTGTTAGCGCCACGTACTCAGCCAACAATCTTAGCTTGTGCGTGCGCACACCAAGCTCGGCTTGCTTTCAGTGGCCTTACGGCATGAACCTCGGCTAGGCATGCTAGCCTACCTAGCCCTCGTATGGTAGGCCGTTGCGAAGCTAGGATTTTCGTGCACGTTGACTTGTTGTTTGACTGATTTTTCCGTCTAGTTGATTCCTAAATCGACTCGACTTTCGACGCTCGGCTATGCTCTAAGCACGAAATCCAACGTCTTAGTTCGTAAAATCTCTATCGACTCATTTAATCTTTCGAATTAATTCGTTGCTTTGATTCGGTTACACGATTGGGTGTGACCCGAAGGGTTCAATCAAGATTAATCTGTAATATTAATTATACATTAATATTACTGATCGGAAACGGCCTCCAGCTAGGCATTCTAATCATTTGACCTCACTGAATAATTAGCTTTCCTAATTAGTTCCAAACCCTCTATCGGAATAACACACTTGTTCGAAGGACACTAATCATTTTAATTGTCTGTTAGGGAGCATCTGAACCCCATTGTCTTCAATGAACTTCTACCTCCTTTCCTTTACTTCAATCCTTAACTTTGACAAGGAAGCAATCACCATCTCAACTGTATCCTCGTCAACAGCTGACGCTTCGTCGCATATTGGTTCAAACTCGGACATAATCTTATTGAATCTCTTCACCTCGGCTGTGTCTGAAGAATCGTGGTATGGAAACTTAACACGAGTATGCTTCCTAACAACATCCTTGTGCCATCGGTCCAAGATGTACTTGTCCGGTATATCGAACACAAGATTTTAATCAAGCACACGAATGCAGTGCTTACAAAAAATTCCGAATGTTTCAAATTTACAACAATCGCAATTGGTAACTCGGTTAAATCTGACACAGTACATTCGCCTTCCTTCCGTTATAACCTCTTCGCTCCTTCCTTCTAGGACAATCCACACTCAATCCTCAAGATAATAATGGACATTGTGTTCATCTATCACTCTTTCCTCCTGCCCATAACAGTACATCATCCTTGACAATTCTTTCTGAATCTCCTGAAATTTTGCATCTGTATATATCTTTTGGTATACTTTCTCCACCTTAAACCCAGTGAATAAGCGCCGCACATACTTTGTTGATTTGGCATCGGCATCATTTTCATCTTTCACCCTTCTAGCCATTGCCCTACTATACTTTTGCTGGAATTCATACAACTTAGTCTTCTAGCTCACAAAACCGTCAAAAAAGCTGTTGATGCTTTCCACATGTTGGGTGGTCTTCATCCCAGCCCAAAAATACTCCTTCATATAGGCCAGAATCCACATGTGACGCTCTTCGAACAGGTCACATAGCCATTCAATTTCTTCCAGTCCATACTTCTTCATAAACTCACACCACCGACTCTCAAATTCCTCAGCTGTTGAGATTTCATAAATGAGAGCTCATAAATGAGAGCTTTAAGAGGACTTTTGAATTCAGCATACCTGACAAAAACATCTAAAACTTATAGGGACTAAATCCCATATCATACTTAATTGGTCACTGCCATATGCACTCAACAGGATTAAAAACACTAGAACATTAGAAAAAATTTGATAGTGCCTAAGCTAACAACAGCAGTATGCATACTTCAACAGCAAAATTTGATAGGGCCTAAGCTAACAACAGCAGTATGCATACTTCAACAGCAGAATTTTTATTCAGTGGCTAAGGTAAGACCAACATCAGATCAAATAAGCATCAGATACATACTAAAGTAATCAATCTCAATTGTACATACTAAAGCAATCAATCTCAATTGTACATCACATACACTACAGCAAATAATTTTTACATAAAAAGGAATATGAGTCCATTTGGAGTAACAGAACAATAAATTGGTATAGTACAGTTAACTAATACTTGAGATATGTACAGCAATTGTCAGTGCAAATGAATATACATCCTAATATCATGATATAACCTCCACATTGACCATAGGCCAGTCATGTTAAAAATCCTTTTTCTAAAACCAAGCATAAAACATTTTTTATAAAGTGAAAGTTTAACAATGCAACAATCATTAAAGCAGATTAGTTCCTGCATGCCATTTGTATAAACAATTTAACATAAAACAAATACCCACAACAAATTTAGTAAATAAATTATGGATTAAGCACTTACAAATCGCATTTCCCAAGCTTTTCAGGAAACTTTCGCATAATATGGCATATGCACCATATATGGCGCGCTGTCGGCATAATTTCAGCAAGCGGCCTCCTCATTGCTGCTGCTTGGTCAGTAAGAATTCCTAAACGGTGCCCAATTCCTCACATGCTAGCCATTGTCTAAACACCCAAGAGTAGGTGTCACAATCTTCACGTGATACAAGGGCATATCCCAAAAGAATTGATTGGCCATCACTAGGCGAAAAATGGTAATGAGCACCGGTTCAAACCCTCCATTTAGCACCGATTTTGAACCGGCCCAGATTTGAGGGATGCCAAAAACCAGAAGATTTCACACCGGTTCAAAACTGGTGCCAATTCTTAGATTGCGCATCGGTTAACCGGTGCTAAAAGTAAGTGCCGTACTTTTTATTTTTTGGTTTTAACTACAATTGGCACCAGTTAACCAATGCCCATTATACCTTCAAAATAATAAAAAAAAAAATTGCAATTTTTTCACTTAAAAATCAGCAGACAATAAAACAAAATACCAAAATCGTAATATACATTAATCATATATATATATATATATATATATATAATATATATATATATATATATTCATCAAATAAATTGTTAAAAAAAATAAAAAATAAAAAAACCGCAACAATGAACAACAAAACACTAAAATCCTTAAATCTTGAATCCTTCTTCTATGTGGAGTCGCTGCAATTGTAATTTTTTTTTTTTTTTGAACGAATACTACCTCCATTAATTAAAACACCAACATTAATAAAACCCACAATAAATTAATATTCCAAAACCAAAAAATTGTAAGTAATTATAATCCTCAGAACAGAGAAAAAACAGAACCCAAAAACTTCGAACTCAAAAAAACCTAGAAAGTTCGTCGAACCCAGAAAAACCCAGAAATTTCGAACCCAGAAAAACCCAAAAAAAACCTAGAAATTTCGAACCCAAAACCTAAAAACCCATAAACTTCGAACAAAGAAAAACCAGAACCCAGAAATACCTAGAAATTTCGAACCCAGAATCCCAAAGAAACCCAGAAACCAAAAAAAAACCAGAAACCAGAAACCTAGAAACCCGCAATTTCGAACATATTACATCAATTAAACCCAAAAAAATCAAGGCAATTTAACATGAATAATTGAACCAAAACGCAAAGATAAAGAACCCAGAAACCCTAACCTCAAATTTTTGATTTTCTAATCGAAAATTCATTCAAGTTTGTTGTGGTTGTGCTTGGTTCCAATGACGGTGGCTGATGCTTGCATGGTTCGAATAATTGACGGCGGCGGCGATGTTTGTTGTGCTTAGTTTCGAAACTTCGACTAAGGTCGGTGGTTGTTGAGAAGAGGAAAAAGAATGAGAGAACAACGAGAGATGAGGAAGAAGAAGATGAGAGAACAACGAGAGATGAGGAAGAAGAAGATGAGAGAACAACGAGAGATGAGGAAGAAGAATGAGAGATCGGAGAAGAACGAGAGATGAGAGAGGAGCGAAGAACGAGAGATGAGAGAGAAGGAGAGAAGAAATAGAGAGGCGGATGAGAGAGAGAGAAGGGCTGAGGGAGTATAAAGGGTTTACAAAATTTAAGGGGCACCGGTTCCTTTTTTTTTTTTTTTTTTGGTTTTCATTTTCTAAAACAAAAGGCACCGCTTAACCGGTGCCATTGTATTTTTGCCCACCGGTTTTTAAAAATCAGTGCTCATTCTTCGATGCTCATTTCTATTTTTCTACTAGTGCATGATGATTCACACCAGCAAAGTTTGCAAAAGGGAGCTCGTACTTGTTAGTCAAGTACGTGGCATCAAAACATACAACATCTACGAAATCTTCGTAGGCCGCTCCACTCCTAACATCCACCCATAACACATCCTTTAGTCGCCCTTCTTCATCCAACCGATGTGCATGATAAAAGTTTTGGTTGTCAGCTTGCATCTTCTCAAAATACTTCATCATCGCTACGGCGTCGCCACCTTCCATTTTCAACCTCCTAGCTTTGTATACCTCGTGTTCTAAGTCCTTCACATTAGGTAGTTTGTCTTTTTCATGGGACAAGCAACCATGAATTTGCTTAACAGGAACACCCTCTTCATAGTAGTTAAGTAGCCTCTTATGTACAGACGAAGTGTAATGCTTCATCCTGTACTATTTTACTAGATTTGCCTAGCTCGGGGTAGGATTGTGGCTGTCATGTTCTAGTTCGGCTGACCGTATAACCCACTCACCCTCAGCATTAACACCTGCATATATGTTTGCAGGACAGAAGCACTTTTTAGACTTTCTCTTCCACTGTTTCAACTCATCCTGCCCTATTACACCGTTAACATTGCCCCCGGTTCCACCAACATCCATTGCTTTTGCCCTCTTCTTCGCCTCCCTTTGGGCCTCATGTCCGGCGCACCCGAGCATTCATTCCTCCACCTAGTACCCCTACGCTCTTTAGTTTTCATAGAAAATGAACCCTGCACTCTACTTACACCGAAACCATGTTGTTCTCCATATAGTTTGAAGTACGCCTCTATGTCCTGCCAGCACTTGAACAACATGCCCTCCTTTGGTGGTTTAACAAAAGGCACAAGCCTATTAGTTGATACAACCGTCTCAACCGTCTAGACAGTGTGGACTGTCTGTATTGGAGATGTGTAGACAACTGGCTGTGACAAAACCAGAGGAGAGCTGGGGTTCAACAACTCCATATTTCCCATGGTACCCCCACAACCAGATTCAAAACACATGTTCGAGCACGGATTCAACTCCATATTTCCCATGCTTCCCCCAGTTCCCCCACACCCAGACTCATCAACACCAGCCACGGAACCAGCAATAGAATCGACACACAATTATGGGCCAACAACGTCATCACCCAAACTAACACAATTAACACCAAGATCAACATCATCATTACCCATATCCATTGTATAAGAGATCTGTGAAACCACAAACACCCACATTTTTTAATCACTGACTTAAAATAAACAAAATTATTGCAACATATTCATAGAACAACAAATAATTTTACCATAAGTAGCAATTATACACACTCATGAGAAAGCTAATACTAAATCAACAATTAAATCAAGGTTCATATTGGGCTGTTCAATTGGCGTCAAACATTTATCAATTTTACGATTGGGGTCAAACATCTATCAATTGTTCAGCTTCATGATCAGTATATGATAGCAATAGCCTAACAAAATTACAACTCAGAAGCAATTATTGTACTGCAAAACCACATAGTCGTAAAATTAGGTATTTCAAACTCATACCTTTCGAACAATACGCTGGAGCTCCACCACTAACCTTGACACGCACGTCACATCAGATCGCCGGCCATAATTAGGACATTAGATCGCCGGCCATAAATAGGACTTAGACCTCAGTATGAAGAATGAAGGAACGCAGGTAAGCAAGTAGGAACCAGAGACACCAGAGTAGAAGGAAGGATCGAATAATAAAGGACAAAAGTACCTTAACTCAAGTTGAGCAAGTTGAGTTAACTCCTAACGTCCCTTTGCAAAATCGTTTATTGCTCTGTCAATTTACTTTTCACGTGCTTTTTCATAAAAAGGGGTACACCTCAGCTAATAACAATTGTTTATTGTTATTTTGATAAACATAAAATGTTTATTAAGGGGATCAACTTGTATTTCCTCTGGAAGTATATTGTCATATTTAAATTATATTCTTTAAATATAAAAATAAAAAATTCACAAAGATTACACTTTTTGTGATTATTTGTTGCCATGTAAAGAAAAAGAAAAAAAAGCCACTAGGGACAAACTAGGCATGTCATACAATAATACGAAGTAACACAATTACAAACTAGGTGGTTGTCGACGAGGATAAGGGAAAAGGAAGAGTCAGCCGACGGTGGAGGTGGGGGGATATGGGCAGCGGGTCCGGTGGGGTAGGCCGGGAGGGAGATGCTGCCAAGGGAGGGGGAAAGGGAGGAGGAAGGGGAGGGGGCAATTGGTTGGTGGTTTTATTAATATATAAATTAAATCTAATTATATAGTAATTTGATGGGTTAGAGGTTAATTAGAAGAAATGGGAGGAAATTAGAGTGTAATTAAGTTAATTAGAGGGTAATTAAGAAAATAGGTTTCCTCTCGAAAAAAAAAAAATGAACGTGGTGGTTTTTTATAAGCAAAAGATTTTAAAAGGTTTTTTTTTTCGCAAAATGGTGGTTTTAAAAAGTTTTTTTGACAAATTTTCCAAAATATTACTAATAGTTTCTAAATAATTATAAGGATCTTTAAGGAGTGAGACCTAGATATTTGGTTTTGATAAGATATTATATTGGTTGCCCACACCATAAATTTGGTGAATGTATGTATAAGCAAAAGTCAAATTAGATCAAGTAAAAAAAAGAACAAGAAGTAATTAAGATTTTTACTTTATATATATTGAATTTATGATAAGACATTACGAAGTAAATATTAATTGACCACACTATGAACAAATGGTATAGATCAGCCACATCATTATATTCTTATTGAATCCATTCAATGTGTAATTTTTAAATATACCAATATAGTTATGTCTTAAATACAAACTCAAGTCAATTTTACCTCATCCAGTGGACATATAAACGAGTTTGGGTACAAATCAAAGGCAAAAAAAAAAAAAAAAAAAAAAAAAAACGGTTATTTCATGAAATGCCATTGAGTAATTGCAAAATTCAACAAATGCCATCCGACTTTTCAAAATTCACCAAATGCCACCGAGTTTTAGCAAAATTTACCAAATGCCATTTTCGTTAGTTGATCGTCAATGTCCGTTAGTTGACCGTTAGATGACCCCACCACTTGCCACGTGTCACCTTCTGATTGGTCCGTTTTTAAAAAAAAATTTACAAAAATTAAAAAAATAACAAAAATAAAAATTAAAAACTTTTAAAAATAGTAAAAAAAAATTTATAAAATTACAAAAAAATTAAAAAAAAAAAAAGAAATTAAGAGGTGGCAGCCACCACCTCCTCCCTAACTGCCCACCCCAAAACCCTAGCCACCACAACCCCTGCCGCCGGGGCTAGCACCGGAAGGCGCGCTGGCCTCTTCCCCTTCCCCTCCCCTACCCCGTCGCGACCCCCTAACCCGCAAAACCCCACCCCCTTTCCTCCACCACCCCGAAACCCCACCCCCCTTCTTTTCCCTCTCCGATTTCAGGCACCCCAAAACCTCACCCCCCTTCTTTTCCCTCTCCGATTTCCGGCACCCCAAAACCCCACCCCCCTTCTTTTCCCTCTCCGATTTCCGGCACCCCAAAACCCCACCCCCCTTCTTTTCCCTCTTCGATTTTCGGCACCCCAAAACCCATCCCCTTCCCCAACAACTTCGTGATTGGTGCGAGATTGGTGGAGGAGTTTGTGGCCATTGATGCGAATGGTGCGAGATTGGTGGAGGAGATCTCGGCGGCGGTTTTTGGGGTCGAGGTTGGTTGTGTGGGTGGTTTTGGGGGTCAGCGGTGGATTAGGTGAGGTGCTAAAGGGCCGGCCGACTGATTTTTGTTGGTTACGAAGGTGGCCGGCCGTTTTCCGGCTATATAAGGGGAGTGGCAGGGTTTTGGGGTGATGGCTGGGGTGGTTCAATGGTTTCTGTTTTTTTTTAAAAAAAAAAATTTTGGTTTTTTTTGTTTTTTTTTTTGTTTTTTTTTAAAAAACGGACCAATCAAAAAGTGACACGTGGCAAGTGGTGGGGTCCACTAACAGTCAACTAACGGCTGTCAGTCATTAATGGCACTTGGCAAATTTTGTTAAAACTCGGTGGCATTTGATGAATTTTGAAAAGTCGGATGACATTTGGTGAATTTTACAATTGCTCAGTGGCATTTCATGAAATAACCGGAAAAAAATACAGTACTGGCCAAATGAGATTGCATAAGTGGGAGGCTGGGAGCTATAAGTCATAGAAATTTAGAAATAGTAGATGATGCAAGAATCAAGATAACTTCCAAACCCAAGTGTACTACACTATCTAATCCAATTTACTATGCAATCTTGTTTACCCTTTCATTTCTTGTTTCCTGAACAACCCACAACTTTTCAATAAAATTAAACTTAATATTGCCTTCCGTTTTATTTTTTCCACTTTCCATCATTTTTTCCTCCTCTTCTCACACTCCCCTCTTTCTTTCAGCCCCTGGTATACTTCAATAGAAAAACCCCTCAAAAAAAATCCACTCCTTTCTTTTTCAAATCACAATATCTTAATCATGTTTTGATCTGGGTCTTTAAATTTTTCTTTACCCAGATCATAATTTTCAACCAACTCTACCAATCTTATTACTTTTTGCCAAAATTAAACTCAATTTTTTTTTTTTCTTGTTGGGTTTTTTAATTAATAACATTTTGATTATCCCCTTTCATTTTAATGATGGTTGTCATCTGTTGAGGTCAGCTTCTTGTAATTATTTTAATTTTTGTTGGGATCAATGCAAAAAATTTAATTAATTTGATTTATTATGTGTGTCTTTCTTCTTTATTTTTGCATGCTTCATTGTTTTAGTTGGATTTCTGTCTTATCGAATTTAGTTATCTTTGAAAATTTGATTTTTATTTGGGTTAGATGATTTTATCTTCTTAACTATAGTTATAATTGAAAGATATAGATTTTTCAATGCTTTTGTATAATGGTATTGAATGAAATTGGTGACCTTTTTTTTCTTTGGTTTATTGATTTTGAATTTATATTTAAAGCTTTAAGTTTTGAGCATGAATTATGGTTGAGATATATATTGATTCTGATCTCATCAAAAAGGATTGTTTGTTTGATAACAGCTTCTGATTGTTCAAGAAAGATCAGGGTTCAACAAATTTTCTGTGAGTTCAAGTGTAATGCTGTTGATATTTCTCTAGATTATAGCTTGCTTTAGTAATGTGTTAAAATACTTTAGTTTTCAGCATTTTGTATTGAAATGAATGAATGTTTTGACTTGCCTGAGTTTGGGGAGTTTAAATCTGTAAATTTTAGAGGACTTGTGGATGTTATGATATAGATTATGTTCCGCCTATTGTAGAATTCTGAGTCTAAATTAACATTATCGAACTTATGAATGTTAATAAGTTATGAAAGGAAATTACGCCATATTGTATAATTTCAAGTCTGAAGTAACATTACAGAATTTTTGAATGTTAATATATTATGATAGAATATATGTTCTGCCCTATTGTAGAACTCTGAGTCTGAAGTAACCTTACAGAACTTGTGAATGTTAATATGTTATGATAGTATCTATGTTCCGCCCTATTGTAGAAGTTCGAGTCTGAAGTCTGTTGGTCATGGAACTTCAACAGGAGGACATATTCATTATTGTATTCTTCCTTTAGAAGTTGTAATAGGTGCTAAGTAGGAGTTGATGTTGTCTATAAACTTGCTAGTTTTTGTTTGCAGGCTTGTTAATCCATCGTCTTGAGCTTTATCCAAGTTTCTTCATCATGGTTAGAGGTAGAGGAAAAGGCAAGAAGCAGACTGCTGTTACAGCTCACAATGATGTAGAGAACGCGAAAGATGAGAACATTCCGGCATCTAAGAGAAGGGGGAGGCCACAGAAGCCACTGAAGGATGAGGTCGAAGATGTGGAGAGTGCAAAGATAGCAAACGGTGAAGAAAATGCTAACAGTTCAATGACAAGTAGAAGCTCAAAAGGTCAATTTACTGCTGTGAGTGGAACAAAAAGGAAGAATTCATCACAAGTGCTGGAGAATTTAGATTCCATCAAGGAGAAAAATGGTGCAGAAGCAAAGTCTATTACGGAGGGTTTTGTGAAATCAGTAGGGTTTAGACAAATTGGAAGCAGGAGAAAAAGCAAGCCTCATCGTGCTGCTGAAGTTGGTGTAAAATGCAAATGAAATGGAAGCGTCTGCTATGACTTTCAGCACCCTCATTTTGTGTTGGCATATGGTTTATGCTGAGGGTCGACCTGTATTGGCTCATTTTTCGTGTTCAGCATTTTCTTAGTTTCAGTTTCTTGTGAATTGTTCAAGCTCAATCCCCCTCCATGGAGATTGTGGTTTTATTTTGATGAACATAATTTGCTGATTTCGAATTTGGAAGAATTTTAAGCAATGTATAGTTTCATTAGTCATTTGGATGACATCTATTACTGTTTAATTCCATTTCCTGTTGCCTAATTTTTAAACAGCCATTCAACTCTATTTTTTTTTTCCTCGTCAGAGCATCTGAGGATAATGTTAAACGTGTCTGTGTAGATATTGCGAGTTGAACACTGAAGCATAAGCAGCAGTTGCTAGAGGTAATTAGCTATCTGAACAAGCTGTGAACAATTGAGCTTTTTTGATGCAGGATGTTGTTTGATAAAAAAAAAGTTTGGTTGGAATTCATCCGACAACAACTGTTGCACAAGCATTTTAGCTCAAGATTTTGCCCAAGGTAGTAAAAATATTTTCTGGATGAACCGATGAAGTAAGTTGCTACCCCCCCACCCCACGCCCCACATCATTATTCTATACTGTCTGACCATTTAGCTGATATTTACTCTATGTCATCTTTTATTTTACTGGTTACCAGGTTTACTTTAAATTACAATGCAAGAACTACTATTTTTTTTTGGTTGTGTGCATAAAACTTACATGGGAGTGGTGGGAGTAAAACCATCCTTGTAGTTAGCTCTTCGATTTTTAATGATATTTTACTGTCGTCCCTGCTCCTTTTTTTACAGGGACTTCCTCTAGCTAAATGCTTTCCTCGCTGAATTAGTGCTCTGTACTTCTGTTTGGCCCTAAGTTTTCGACCTGCCTTTGGCAACACAAGCATGACTCATGAATTATTAATCTCCTACGATTTTCCTCTTTGGATGAATGGTGCTAAGCTGTTAACAATCAACAGAGGTTTGCAATTATTCCATAAAGTCTGCAAGAGGCTTCATTATATGTTTCAACAGTGACACAAGCTTATAGTTCTTGTAAGGCTTGCATATCAAAATAATATTCCATTTCTTATGCTTCAGTTTTCAGGTTAGGTCATCCCGAATTCCAAATCAAGATTCAAGAAGCTAGGTGTGCTACAATGATCGTAATTTGTATTTCTGCTGCATAAAGTGTTTCGCTTGCACAATTATCCTAAGCTTCCCCATTTAGCCTCATCGTTCTACTGTATGATACTATGATCTGTAATTATCAGCAACCCACGCAAGGCAAGCTTTAAATCATTTAAGGTTATGCTCTTACTTTACTCATTTCATCACCTACTGTGAGAACAAATTTCCTCCTTATTCGCTCATTAATATTGTGGCCATTTCATGACGTTATTGTGAAACTACTCAATTATGCAGTGTAGTTGTATAAATTACTTGTGTATGCTAGTTATGATTTTAGAGATTTCCACATTGCTACTCCAATATTATACCTGCAGCAAAACATAGTTTTTGTTTTTGTTTAATAACAATTAATTTTGATCATTGAGGAGCCAAAAGAGCTGTAGAGCAGCTAAAATAATCGAGTTTGGATTAAAGAGTTCAGATTACTAGTGTTTCAGTATAAGGGGAAACTAATCAAATAGGGCGGCATCACTATTCAAAGCATGTCTCTCAGCTTCTTGCTTTGTAGATTGCATAATGCTCTTTATTTACACAAAGAAACCGATTATTTAGGGCTTGTTTGACATTGTTTTTTGTTTTTAGTTTTCTGTTTTTTTGAAAACCAAAAACCAAAAACAGGAAACAAGAAAAAGGTGTTTCCACTTTTTTGTTGTCAGTTTTCTAAATTATCAGGATTTTAATAAGTTTGACTAATTTTTTATTCATTATATAACATATATCATATGATTTTGAAAATCAAAAAACCAAAAAACAGAAAACCACAACAATGTCAAACGAACCCTTTAGTTTCCTTATTGTCCTAAATTTCCTTTTATACTCCTAATATGAAAAAGGGACCAAGCATGGCTTGTGTAGTTGATTATATAATGTTAAGGTCACAAGGTCGAAAGTTCGAAATCTCCCAAGTCCCAACTATAGGTATAGTGTTGTGCGACAGCGGAAGCAAAGGTCGAAAACAAACAAGAAAACAATAAAGAAATTCAATGCAAACAATAAGAACAACACCAAGAATTTACGTGGTTCACTATCGATGTGATAGCTACGTCCACGGGCACCGAGATCGAATGATTTCACTATAAACTGCAAAGATTACAAAGATGATTCTTGTATTTCTCAAGAACGGCTCTCACTCTCTCTCTCTTAACCCTTATACTAATATTAGGGAGGTTTTATATTAATCCCTAAAATAAAAGATACTTGGGCAAAAAGATAACATAAAAGATAACTTTAAATCGTAAAATCCGCGTCTCCGCATTTTTCCTTCTCCGCCCGGTCAGACCGGGCAAGGTCTGCCCGATCGGGCGCGAGAAGAAAACTCCATACGAATGCTTCAACGTATCCAACCCCCACCGCCCGGTCAGACCGGGCAATGTCCGCCCGATCGGGCGGACAAAGCTACGAAGTACGAGTCACCTAATACTTATCAACATATAGTGCTTGGGGTAAGGATTCCTTGCCCTCCCTGGCCCCCTCGAAAGTGTTTGGCCAGAAAAAACTGAACTGAGAGACTTTGAGAGTTGAGGTTTAAATTAGTTAGGCTCATTCCTTACTAAGACAAAATTGCGAATTTGGTGATCTTAGATAATGAATTATTATATTGAAATGCCCTATTACAAGGACAACCTACTAGTATAATCTATCCTTCAACCCTCCTCACCCCTCCTCCCAAGAGTGGTTCGAAGCCTAGATTTCCCCTAAGGAAGGCGGAGAACATATCGATCAATTGAGCTAAGCTCTTTTGGTTCATTCCATTCTAAATGATTGCACAACTACTATAGGTGGTAAAAGGAAAGAGAAGCAATAAAATAAAATAATGTTAGTCTCCTACCAATATAGGAAGTGTTGCAAAAATGAAACCGACAAGAGTTGTGAGTATATACTATATAGACATAGGGAATAATAAAAAACTAAAAATTATACTTTCTCCTTTTTTTTTTTTAATTGCACCATATGCCATTTTACTCTTGTCGATGAAATTATTTGATTATTAATATCTTTAATTATACTGAAGTAAAAATTTATAAAAATTTGATATTTGAAAAGTAGACGTCGAGACGAATCTAACGAGATCCCACATGACTATGGTTTTCTTACGAATAAATCAAAAAAGAGATCAAAAGAGGTTGTGTGAATAGTGTAAAATCCCAAATGGTGCTATTAAAAAAAACGGAGGGAGTAGCTCATATCGTGAAAACATACATTATGAAGCCAACAAGATCACATTTGACTGTGTATTTCTTACGCTCGTGTAGATGTGTAATCAAGAAATATTGTTAAAATAAGAGTTAATGATTAGTGCATAATTAAAGTCGAGGTACGGAATTGAGAAAAATAAATAACATAAACAAACAAAAGGAAGAATAATGAACAAATGACTAAATTGGGAAGAATAAATTTTGAAATAAACACAAAAAAGAATTATCTTAGGCATTTTGAAAAGTTTGTCGGGAAAAAAAAAAAAAAAAATTTGTCTAAATGTCATGTGAGTTTTTTCTTTTTTTTTTTTAAAAAAAAAAAAATATTTTTAACCAAATTGTCTCATGGAGTTAAATTTTTTTTTTTTATATCAAATTATTGTCGGAGTAATTTTTTTTTTTTACCTAATTGTCGCTAGGAGTCTTTTATTTTTAGTAATCTAGTCAATTGGCCACTCATATACACTAACAACATGTGGTAAATTGCAACATATTTTTTGTTTAAATAGATAATTTGCTACAACATTATATTTATAATGTGGTTTTTCACAAATTTTGGATTTTAATACAAATTGATTTTTGACAAATTTTCTTATAAATACATATATATATTTAATCATCAAATATTTTGAGTTTTCCCAATCTTATCCAACTATTCATTTGATATCCTACAAATACCCATTCTTCAACAATTTACTTGTTACATACGTATAGATGGATATATCATTTAGTGAATGAAAATAAAAGGAATAAAAACACACACACAAGCACAACCTCAACTGAAATCACCACAAGAACATAAGTTAAGAGTTAGCATATATATAAGATATTAAATTATTAATTAGGACTAGCTCTAAACCCTCCTTTAGCCTACATCTTCTTAGAACACCATAAACAACCAATAAACCCAGAGTTTAAAAAAAAAAAAATCCTCCACCTCTAAAAATTAATTTTATTTGTGAGAAAATCACTGTTCAAATAGAAAGAACTTTTAAGCAATATATGAGTATTTCAAAAAATGATTAGTAGGGACGGGTGCCAATGTAGTTGCCAGGAGGATCATAGTTGCAAGTAACGAAAACAGCACCGTTATAACAAGTAACCCTAGCACAACCAAGGCGAGTCGATTTCCTCCAAACAATCTGAGTATAATGCCCACAATCCATACCATTAGCACAAGAGTTAGTGTACAAATCATAGTACCTACGCTCCTCCACCCATGTTTTCGTTGCGAAAGCTGCTGAATAACCACCACTACCCCAGAAGAGGTTCTCCCCATAGGGACCATCAGAGTGAACCAAACGACAATCTTTAATACGTTGGTTAGCCCATGATTGAGCAAAGGAAGCTAGCCTGTCATCCCAAGTGAACGGGGGAAGTCCTACGGCTGCCCTAGCGTCGTTGTGGACTTGCATGAAGGCGGCCTTATCGGAGCCAGTGGCACCACCACCGAAGTAGTAGTAAGGGTGGTAGTTGGAGGATGAAGACGACGGTGTGTATGCATTGTACGTCCGGGACTCGGATGCGTAGGATATGGTTGTTGCAAAGGCAGCAACTAGGAGGAGAGAAAATGTTATGGTTTTGGCCTTAGAAGAGGCCATATTTTTTGTTTCTTTTGACGTAGTTGGAATTTTTTTTTTTTTTTTTTATGGCTTGTATTTTTGGTTGATACGTTTTGGGGTTGGGAATTAATATGATATGGTGAAAAGAAAATATAGAAAAGGTCATAGATTTGAGGAACAAGTTTGTGAGATGCATGTTCGATAATGGAGGGCACGATGTTTGAAAAAAAATTAAGAGATTTGATGTAATATAATAATGTTTGAATATGTGATGATATAAGAGTAAGTTGTACTTGCTAAGGTCTATAATTTAATTGATGTATAAGTCATGGGATTAAGTAGTCTTCTCTTTTTTTCTTCTTCTTCTGTTTTTTTTTTTTTTTTTTTTTTTTTTTGGAAAATAAAATATTTATTTCAATTCCTTGAGCATGGAGTTTAAGATGATGTAATTATAACATGAGTGTATGATAGTCAAATATTCTAGCATAATATCAACCAATTGGCCTAGATCGGCTAGATGTATTCCATGGTACAATATACACGTACTTAGTATGTCAATGTATTTAGTGGAGGCAACTTCTTGATTTATTTATTACAATTTTTTTTGGTGCAAAACTTTTGGTTTTAATTAGTTTGTGTGTCATTTTTGTTAGGATTAATATAATGTGTAGGGTGTATATTAGGTGCCTAGGCTTAAGTAAACAAAAAATTAATCCGACCGATTTAGGTGTCGTTTGGTTCACATGAGAATTAAAACTTCTCATGTATTGCAAATTCATGGGAATTAAATTCTTATAATCAAATTTATGGGGATTTCCTAAAATTGTTTGGTTAACTATGAGGGAAGTAACTTCCATGGAATTTCTACTTACCTAGGGGGACTAGATAAGTAAATTCCTACATTTTGTGGGAACTCAAAATTCCTAGGAAATTCCACTTCCCCCATTTCACCAAACTTTTGTCAACCAAACAACACACAAAACTTGCAATTTCTAGAAAGTCTCACTTCCCATGATTTTTTATGTCAACCAAACAATCCCTTAGTTGATTCGATTTGACTCGTATGAGCACAATAATTTAGCATGATCTGAAAATGCGAGCGAGTGAATGTAAAAAGGTGCATAGTTTGATGTAAGAAGGGTAAGATATATAGTAATGTAAGGTGAATATCTCAAATATGGAATAAAGTGAAAGTGTTATAAAATCTAAGAAACAGATGAAAATTAATAGTAATAATTGTGCGTTAAATTTATCTTATGAGAGAGCTCTTATGAATAGTGTGCGTACGTTTATACCCCTTAAAATGTTTGTTGACATATTTGCCCCCATTTATAAGTTTAAGAAGCTCTATTTTTCTTACCTAAAAATGTTTGTTTACATATTTGCCCTTATTTATAAGTTTAGGAAACTCTCTCTCTCTTTTTTTTTATTTTTTATAATTAATCATCAAGCATGTATACACGTCCAACCGAGCGGGGCTCGCTCGATCTGCGAATGAGACAATTTTCAGAAACTTGCTTGTTGCGGGCCCGGCCGGGGAGATCTTGCCCGACCAGGCGACGTGAACCTTGACCGACCGGACAGATGTGCCAAGGTCAATATTCCATTTTCTTCCTTTATTCCAATAATCCCCCACTTAAGGGAGAAAAGAAAAACCAACAAAAGAACTAAGAAACAACATATGGGCATAAGAGGAGATGTAGTACATAACACTTTGATACTACATTAGTAATTTGAAATCTAGTATTTAGTGAAATGAGGCAATGAACTACAAGTCCAAGGGTGGACGAACCTTGAAACCCTTAAACTCTTGATCAAGGAGTGGACGAACCTTAAAACTCCAAGATTTAGCACAAGGCCCCCACAACACATACATCACTCCAAGATCTTTTATGAACTCCGTGAAGAGATATGTTCTTTTATAGCCAAATATATTCACCTTAGGTCTAGTGGGGGCTTTAGGAAATCGGCCTAAGTTTTCCATGGAAGATGGCTAGTCTTCACAACCACATATGTGAATCACAAGCACTTCTCGATAGTACTTGGTCATTGGGATTAAAACATGTTCACAAGAACTCAACAAATGCTACATTGTAGCTATTAACCCCCACAAGACCATGGTTCATTAAGTCACAACAATCATAAACGTCGGTGATTCCAAATATAGTGCGTCCACTTAAAATTTGGATTCATTAAGAGTCTAAAGACTCAACCTCAAACGGTGGATCATTCAAGTGCGTCTTTACTAGCACCAACCTAAATGGTTTATTGATTCATTAAGAGCTCAAAAGAATTCAACATCAGCCAAGCATTACAACACATGCCATGCATAGGGATAGGAAAGTAATGTTTTGATCATTCCATTTGGGCTTAAGGCCTATGCCTCTCGACATATCCACAAACTATCAAGGATCGTTACGTGTTCCAAATTCTCTTACCATAGTGCACAAATCTCTTTGTTATAATTTTTTTCCATAAAGGAAAGCTAGTATGTAATTAAAACCAACATTAACTTGATTGCACAAATGATTAGAAAATTATGTCACGTTCACCTTTACATGAATGAATCAACGAGACATCTTCACAACTTGAAATATGAAAGCTTTACACAATCAAGTACGATCCTTGAAAATAATATAGTTGCGTTAGTGAACTAACTTCATCAACCATCAATCATCGACACTTGTTTTTAGAAAAAATTCAAACAACTTCTTCCAAAAGCAAGTGTATTTCACAACCTTCGTACCTAGCAAGATACTTTGAAAAGATGAAGCAAGGTTAAACGTGTTTAATAGTTCAATTTACTTATAAATTTGTAAAATATCACACCTCAAGTATTTCACAAATAAGATGCCATGTTAAGATAGAATGCAATGCATATCATTATCATATTGCTAAACGTTTTAGCATAATACATTACTCAAGACATGCTTTGAGAACCTTCTTTTAAGTTATAAAGACTTCATGCTAACACAAATGTATACCACAATGACATGAATAATAAATTTCATATCACCAAAATAATCTTCTAAGTCATAAAACATGACATATTGGAAAACCAAACAATAATAATTATTTTCAAAAATATCAAACACGTGTCACTTCTAACGTTGGAAAAAACTTTCACAACAACATTGAGAAGATAGGAAATTCAAATAAGGTTATCAATCACAAATAAACATGTGATGCACAACAACACTAACATATCACTCACATTTTAGAAATAACAACATTCTTATCACCTTGAAAAGAAGTGAGATATAACTTAAATCATAAAGGTGGTAGTATTTGTAGGACTTTAGGTACTATAAGCGAAATTTCATGAATCAGATTCATACGCACCTAAATCAGGATCATAAGCATACCACACAAGAATCACATAATTATACCTTTGAAGCGTGAATTCTACGTAGCTATTCGATTGACAAATCAGGGAGAGAATAGAGCCCCAAGCGTGAATCCTCTACTTAGTCCACGGAATTCGAACAAGCGTCCACCAGTGCTAGATTGATCGAGTGAAAGGGAAAACCGCGATCACCACCTTTCTTGGACAACCGGACACCACACGAACACCACCACCTTGAGCACATCACCGGCGCCTAGGGAGGAGGAGAGAGCCATGAGAGAGAGGGGAGTTTGAGGGTTGGATCTCGTGTTTGCTAATTAAGGTTTTAACTAAACAGTAAATTGTTATGTGTAAAAACCTAGGCACGAAGTCCAATTATAATCCTATTATAATTAGACTAGGTTAGGAAGCCTAAAAACTCTCTAAATCCCTCCATATGGCCGGCCACCTAGGGGAGAAAGCCTATCATGGGACTTTTCCTCTTAAGCTTGATCTAGGCCCTTTGTGTGACCTTATAGGATCCGTCCAATTGGGCTTTGGCCTATTTTACTAGCCCAAAGATCGTTAGTACCTCTGGCTATGATATAACGACGACCCAAATGGACGAACTTAATTATCTCCATAATTTAATCCATTATATATATAGTTTTTGCACTTGATGAAGACATAAATCCTTTGGTATTAAACCACATTAGAACTCAACCATATACTTCATAGAGAAGTTGGACGCGAACAAGTATGCAAGCGTCTTGAAGTTATTGATGCAACCGGCTGGCAGGTTGCCAAACCATCATTGGGCTATGCCCTTCAATGTCGCCTGGAAGCATCGGCACCAGGCAACATCATCCAACCCCTGTAAGTACAAAAGGTTGGTGTAAGCCATTAGGTGGTCTTCCGGGTTAGTGCAGTGGTACCGTCATAAGTACCGACCAACACATTCTTAACCTTGGCCGGCTGAGCCACCTCGGTTATCTCCTTGGAGAACACCGATGGTTGTTCTCCAAGGTTTAGCAGCCGGAGCTGCCAGTCCATAGGCTGGACATTCAGTGCCGCCTGACCCCCGAAGAGGGTCGGCTGCATGTATGGTGATCCATATGGCATGTATGGCTGTTGGGGCACATACGGAGTCGGCTGGGTAATAAAAGGGCCAGTACGTACGGACAAGCCGCGTGACTGATTCTCTCAGTTTGTTTCCGAATACTTCATTGAAGTATTCTTTTGGAAACTGTCTAGGTAAGTCGACGTTGAGGCCGACTCAGACAACTGTTGACTTCTCTTCTGCTGGATTAACATCCAGGCATCTGAGTAAGTCCTTTTTGGTCCATCCGGCTGAACTTGCCGAATGGCCTTCCTTTTCCCTGATTCAGGGAAATAGAGCTTTGAAAGTTCAATCATGGGCCCATCCACCCCCTTTGGTTTAGGGTGAGGAGTAGGCACACGATCCTTAACGTGCTTCTTCCCTGAGGGAAAAGGCTTTTTGGCCGACTGACCCTTGTTGGTGCCAGTTGACTTGTTTATCAAGTCCTTAATTTCCCCTTTGAAACTCGTCATGAATTTCATGAGTTTGTCTCTAGTAACGGGAGCATCACCCTCCGCCGCTTGGGGTAACCCAGCCGGCTTGACGGTTGGGTTGCTTGGACCAGCTTTGTCTTCGCCCCGTTCCCTTGTTTCCTTGGAACGAGTGCGTCTTGCTCTGAGTAACCCTTCTGGGGCCACATAGGTGTCGACTT